TCAATTAATTCAATTAAATTTCACCTCACTACCTTGAGGTAGGTAGTTCTCTGGGACTCACATCTTTGCTTGCTATGTAGTATGGTCCACACACTCTTAGTGCAGATTAGGATAATTAATAATACCAACAGTAAAACTTGGAGTTTACAACATCTTGTAACTAAAGGTCTCAAGTAATTTAAAAATAATCAGATTTGTGTAATGAAGAATGAAGAGGAGGCTTTTTGCCTTCTCTTTGCCAATGGTGACAAGGGAGAAATGCTGCCCTTGTTTCAGGTTCCACTCCATGCTAGGGATGCGTGACCTTGAACAGGTCTTTGTGACCTCTCTATGACTCAGTTCTTACAGTTTTCAAATACGGGCAATAATATGAGTCACCTTGCTACTTCACAGAGGTGTTGCAAGGAATAATGTTTGTAATATACTGTGGAGTTCTCAGATGAAAGATAGAAATGAATACATGATGAAACGTTATGACTACTAATCTTCACACCATCTAAATGGGCCAGGCAAGCGAAATATCAGAGCTTCAGAGAAACCAGTACTGCCATTATTTCTACTTGGCATCCATTAGAGACACGCAGAGGTTGAGAATAGCTTGGAGCAGTAGCACACCCGCTCTTGGGATACACGAAAGCAAGAGATACCAGATCAACAAAAAGATAGCTAATTATTTATTCCCTCTTTCTTCCACTGTTCAGATCTTATTTGGGGTAGAGTAAGAAGAAATGAGCACAGAGAGAGAATCAGAGAATGACAGGAGCAACGTTTGCTCTTGGACATTCCCTTTGATTCTAATTGATCAGTATATGTGTATGATTTACAGTCTCCGCATGGACTTCTGAGCCTCTGTCTCCTTAGTCAGTAATGCATTTCTATCCGTCTCCAGTTCTCCAGGTCAGCAGAGAACCAATTCCTCATCTTTACAAAGTCTTCCAGGCCCAAGACTGTTCTTGACTTTCTTGTTACCCTGGTGGAATTAGCACATGTTTTGGAATTTTGGTGTAGTCCTGCTTTCACACCAGACTTAACTCTTCTATGTCATTCTTCATGAATCATCATTCTTCATCTCCTATGGGTCTCAGTATACCGAAGCCGATCCAACACACATTACCTGAATGAAGGAATGGAATTTGTCTGCAAAATAAGGTTGGAATCAGATCATACCAGATCCACATCTGTCCCTCTCACTGTCCAGTGCACATCCTGTGGGACACCAGCGTAGAATAGAAATATTGAACGGGCAACATTAAGGAAAAGAGAAGCTGGTTTAAAAGAAATTGGCTCCACATGCACAATATTACATACAAGGATTGAGTGACTTTAGCTTCTGCACATGAGTCCTATAGCTACAACAGCAAGGCGGCTCTGGAGAACCACAGGCATTTTATGTCACCGTCACTCACTGTATTAACCCTGGGCCCAGATCTGGCTCTGAGGCCTCCACAGAGTGGCTGCATCTGCGTTTTCTGTGGCCTTTGCTGCCTGCTTTTGCCCTTGCTGTCCCTGTCCCATAGCAGCAGGGGCGAGGCACTGTGGGGACCAGACCTGGGTTTCTCTTTCCCAAGCCGCTTGGGCCCGCCTCACTCCCTGAATGCCTCCCACATCTCCATCAACTGAAGCTTTTGAGTCTATATTCGGGGTCTTTCTCAAATTTTCCTCCACAAAGAGGCTGTTCTAGTCACGCAAGTGCAATACTTCTCACCCCACTCGGGTCCAAATACAGATTCTGTTACTAGTTAATAGTTTGAATTGAGGCACATCCCTTATTTTCTGAACCTGCGTTTCCTTGTCTGCTAAGTGGGAATGCCCTTCCCTGGACCAAGGGTGGAGGTCGTGATGCAGATCGTACGCAAAGCTGCGTGCAGCGTGCCCAGAATAGTGCTGCCGATGTGAGGAAGTCTGCAAGGCACTCACTTCCGCTCTTTCTAGCAAACCTTGCCCAAGTCTGGACTCACATGCCAGCTGTGCTTATCAAGGGCGGGCAGTGCCTATGAGTCAGTGGTTGCTGATAAAGTGTGGCTGTGACTCACTGGAGCCTCTGAAGGACCAGAGGAAGCTCACTGTGGAGATTTCTCTGTTCTCCTGGATCCTGCTGTGGAACATGATTTTCTATGGATCCTTGTGATTTTTTTTTTCCCCACAAAAGCTTTCAAAGATCTCACATTTGGCTTACATATTATTAACACATGACACAAGTTTAACCTTCTTTATGGCAGAGTAATGCTCCATTGTGTGTAAACACACTTTCTTTACCCATTCATCTGCGGGTGGACATACAGGCTGCTCCAGGATTTAACTATTATGAGCTGTGCTGCTATGAACATGGGTGTGCATGGATCACTCTAACGTGATGTTTTTAACTCTTCTGGGAAGATCGCTAGAAGAAAAATAACTTGGTCAAATGGAATTTCTAATTGTAATGTTTTGGGGAATCTCCGTACTGATTTCCACAGTGGTTATATCGGTTTACATTCCTGCCGACAGTGTAGGAGCGCTCCTCCCCTCCCCACATGCAGCCTGGCCACCATTTGTTATTATTCGATATCTCAAAACCGTAATGTAAAGGGAAATCAGACACGCAAGCTTAAATACTGCATGGAGTAACCCTAATTATGAAGCGAGAGCAAAATAAAAGATAAGAAGGAGTCGAAAGGGGATGGAGACATGGTGGGAGGGAGGGGAGAGGGAGGCAAAGGGGAGGGCAGAGGGAATGAGGTGCTGTGTACACACACTCACTCTGCACAAGGAAAGACAGCAGGATGCACTGCAAACATGGACTCACGCAGAGAAAAGAAGGAAAAGCTACTGCTAACAGCATCATCCGATTTCCTTGCGGGGGAACGTCGGCACGCAGTTCCTCCTCCAGGTCCTACACGCTGGCCTTACCTTACAGTGGTGTGTGCCTTGCCAAGTGTACTCAGGATCTCGGCCAGAAGGCTGGCTGTGGACAGGAGAAAGCGATATGTGCTCCCTGCTCCCCAGCGCTGGTGGAACGTTGCCACTTCACGTAATAACACTCAAAAGTCAAGGTGAAGTTTTATTTTATTTTGTCGTTTTGAAACAGCGTTACACTATGCAGTGCAGGCTGGCCTTGAACTCTCTCTGTAGTACAGGCTGGCCCCAAACTCACAGTGACCCTCCTGCCTCAGCCTTCTGATTGCTGGGATTACAGGCATGTGCCACCATGCCTGGCTCAAGAGATGAAGTTTTAAAATCAATCCATTTTGTTTTTTCCCGCTAAATATACTAAATGGGCGTAAAATGTTCATTTACTTTTCTGAGGCATAATTTTCACATAAAAATACAAATTTTATTTCTACAAAACTCGCTGTTTTAAGGTTTGCAATTCAGTGAATTCTATTACATTCACAAGGTTGGGAAGCCATCACTAATTCCAGATCATTTTTCACTATCCCCCTGGAAAGGAAACTCCATACTCGTTCTGTCTGGACCTTGTGATAAAATGTTACTGTTAATTTCATTTTTATTATTTGGTTAAATTGTGCTTATAATCTTTGGAAACACAGAAATATTATATATACAATAGTAATTAATATTACAATGAGTTTGTTCAGCTTGCAGTTTTTTGTGTGTTTATCTCACTCATTTTGCCATGTGCTCAAGATTTTAAACACACATGTGCACACACACATGCACACAGACACACATACCCACACTTGTGTCAGTCAGGTTACAGATATCAGGGCCAACAGTCATTCTTCTTGAAAGGTAGGGAGTAGATGCTGCTGGGTCCTAAGCACTGACCTCAAAACACAGTTTCAGGAGGAAAGTTATTATATTATGGTCTTTATTTTACACATGAAATAGAGGTGTATGGAATTTGTCTAACTTGCCAGATCTCAAGGTGGTAAAACTACCAGCTAATAAAGGCTGAATTTGAACACAAGCTCTCCAAATTCAGAGAACAGCATGGCCTTAACCACTTTGCTCTACCACCTGCTGTGAAATTGGACATCCAGGCTCATAGTCTCCCTTGATCAGCCCGCACAAGCCTCTCATTCCATTCCCTCCGCTTTGCTGCCAGATGTTACAGGATGAGGAGCACCGATTCCTGTTTTTAAATGACCACACCAAGACCAGCACAGAGAAGCAGCTGGAATCCAGATCTTTTCCAGAGCCAAGTTTGCTTTGTACCTCTATACCTTACTGGGACTTCTGCCATTATCTTAGACTTTCGTTTAAGGTCTAAGAACAAAAGCCACCTTCTGTTATACTTGTTTGTGTGTTTGAATCTCTCTATTAAGCCAAAGGTGGCAAATATGACTTGACTTAATAATGTGGTCTTTGTACTCGATGTTCACCGAATAATTTGGGAATACATTTAAAAATTAGTCTTTTTGTACAGTCATTTGGACATTTTATATCTAAAAACCTTTAAGGGGTTTAACCCCTAACATTTGAAGGAGAGGAGAGTCCATAGACTAGATTGCCTATACCTCTATTTTTTCCATGTATTTCAAAAAAGTCAACTTAGTTCTGTTTACATGTTATGTAGAATGTTTTCTGCATGCACAGAGAAATGTGATTACAAATATCTTTGGAAGAGGATTAGTGATAACTTGTACCTGCGTGAACAAAATGAATGAGGGTCCTATTAAAAACCTATGGACTGAGGCTTTCATTAAGCAAATTAAATCTGCAGCTCTGCTACTCTCCCCTCTGCCCCAGTTCCACAGCTCCTGGGAATAAAGCAGCGACCTGGGAGTTCTTGCACCCGCTCCTCAGAAGGGTCCTGCCAACTCTGCATTGTCCCGCTGGATTTGCAGTCAGATGTCTGAGGCTGGCAGACCCTGGGCAGGCAGTGAGTTCTTTCGCTGTAAGTTGGGCACAAAAAGATTGGCATGGGAGCAGCCTCCTTTGAGACAGCTGCTCTGGGAGAACGCAGTGAGCAAGGAGCAGCCAGAAATTCCTCCTAGCCAGGGTGACTTGTGGGAGGAGTTCAGTTTGCTAAGTATTGTCATTTGCTGGGAGAAGGTGTGTGCTCGAGGAGGAGTGTAACCTGGAGGATCCTAAACCCTTTTAGCCAGTCTGGGCACAGCAGCCGCGGTGGCTCTGCCAGTTCGTCCTGCAAGTGTCTGCTCAGGAGGGCGAGGGAGGAAGAGTGGCATCACTTTTTCATGGGGGACAGCTGTAGGAAGGAGCAGAAGGCGGTGCTCAATGAAGGCCAAGAAAATGAGATGGTAAGATTTCAACACCATTCCTCTCTTTCCGCTCCCTCCGCCCAGACAGACAGACAGACAGACAGAGAGACAGACACACACACACATGCACACACACCCTCACTGATACACACACATTTCTCACCACTTTGGCTCTGGGATATCACGAGAAAAGGGGATCATGTCCAAGAAATCTCTCTGTCCCACAAAGGCAACCTCTGACAGCAGGCGTTTGTGAGAATGAAAATATTGTATTCATTTTTATCAAGAATGTTTTCTTCTTAAATAAAGCAGACAGGGAGAGAAGCACAGCGCCACTTGATAATTCATCTCTGAGCCTTGTCAGTAGAGCAAGTCTGTTCAAGACTTCCAGTCATTTCAGGGGTCCCTAATGTGAAGAGCGGGGCTCCCCAACAGGAAGAAGAAAACATCAATAGTGAAACAGCAGCCGGCTGGGTCTTTGACCTTCTTCTCTTCTCACAAATCTTGTTTGCCAAGACTGCTGGACAGGGAAGACATAAAATATTAACAATTATCAGCCTACACACGTTTCTTTTCACTTCTAGAGTTTTACTTGTAGCTCCCTAGTTATAGAGATTGGTTACAGCAAACTTCCCGTAGTTCATTTTGTCTTTTATTTTAAATGTGTTCTCATCTTGGGAAGTGTGAGAAAATCAAAGATGACTCTTATGTTCTTAGTGAATTTAAAGTTATATTTCTCAATTACAATGTAATCGAGAGAGAGTTAGAAATGTGTACTTCTTTTAATAAGGTCTTTCTGCTAACTGTGTAAGCATAATCTTTTATGCCAGTAATGATGTAATTAAAATGTTAAAATGTGATGCTTTCATTCTATAATAGCATCTTTTTTATCTCCCTGGAATTAATACACAAATAACAAACCCAAAAGATATTTACTTAAAATGTTTTCTTGGTTAATTGCTCGAGCCCTGCCTATTAAATTCTTTGTTCTAAAACTGGTCTTTCAAGTTTAATCTGCTTACCTGTTCCCATAGCAACAACACTTTTTTTTGGACCTTCAAGAGTAGACTTCTTCTATCAAAGCTGAAAAAAATTATAAAGAAATAAAAGGCCCTGTAACTCAGATAGCTTTCTTAACCAGGCCCTTTATTTCTTTTGGACATGACTGCTGAGTGACAGTTGCCTCCCAGGCTCTACACAAATGTCTCCAGAAATGACTTTCTGGTCTCATGTTGGGTAGCATCCTTATTTCTCTGAAGTGTTCTCTGGAGAGAAATATATTCCATTACTCATTATCTTAAGTTGAAAATTCTATTCTCATCTGGAACACTCACACCAGAAAGCAGGAGTTCCTTTTCTGTACTGGTGTGTGTGGCATCCTTCTTCACTTACAAACTCACCTGTTCTTTTCCCATCTACTCATTTCTGCTCTTTGGCAACGTATTTGCGACGCATTATTAAGAATCATCATTGAGATTCATCTATTTTCCAGAAAACATGCTTGGTTCTAGGGAAATTATTGCCTCTTCCCTAGCTTAACAAAATGTTCCCAACAAAGTGATTTTCTTCATCACAGCCTCTCCAAAAACACAGGGTATCAACCTAGTTTTGTGTGCATCTGCGGGTGTAGCTGGGACAGGGCCTCTGCAGTGGGAAGGGATGCCGTGCTTGCTGCTGAGAAGTCAGTGGCCCGTGGCTCAGTAGGGGTGTAGCATTACTGTGTGCTCAAAGCTCCCCGTCCTGTTCTGCTTGCAGAAATCTGGCTACTTGTTGGTGCCATATCTGACATCGTGTCCCTTTGTCACTCACTCCTCTTTTGTTGAGAGCAGTAACCTTCAAAAATTAGCAAGCTAGCTTACATATATTCTACACATTCTTATCAAAAAATGTCAAGTTGTTGTGATTCTCATTATAAAGATGGGGCAGTAGATGCACAGGGAATTTACCTAAAGTCGAAGCAGCCAATAAATCTAGAGTTAAAATGCTACATTGGTTAGTTTCTGTTTGTAGCTCTGTATCTCTGGACCCAGACATAACCCACTGGTACCTCTGAAGTTCTTCTGGGGGACATTGGACTCTTGGTAGAACCCATTTCCTCCCGATAAAACAGCAAAGGACAACATCTGATATTCCTAGATTCAGGATATGTTCTGGAATACACGACTTGCATGTCCTAAAATGTCCGACTCCTCTGACTTCCAGGATAATCCCTTTTAGGAAGTCAAGATTGTCTAAAAATACCTGACACCAGTGTTTGCAGTTTCCTTATAAGCACCCTGAGTTTGGACATTTGCAAAAGTGATTTCTCTGATGATAGAGATAACATCTGGTTTCAAGAGAAAGCAGCATTCTGGAACTTAGTTCTCGTATTACGATAGAATGGGAATACTTAGCTGGCCAATGACAGTGGGATAATTTCCTATTCTAGAATAGAAGAAACAGGAGCAAAAGAGCTACTCTAGGTTACTTGGTGGTCATATTGCTCAGGGAAAAATGAGGCAGGAATGAAAGGAAAAAGAATTTGTGGGAGAACAAAGACGGGGGAGGGAGAAAGTGACCTTCAGAAAAGTTCATCTGATCGCTGCTTCCTACAGGGCTCAAACAGGAGATCCTCAGAGCACATTGTGACCAAGCAGAAGGTGGGCTCTTGGTGGCCTCAGGCTGGCCACTGTCCTGCTCTAACCTCAGTGTAATATGTGTAAAATGGAAGTGGTCCTTGTGACCCTGCCTATCTTGCAGGGCTCTTAGGAGGGTTAGCTGGAACATCTATATGGAAGTATTTTGAGCTTTTAATACTTTCAGAGTGTGAGCTGCTATTGTCTAAACAAAGACAGGTGGAGTCAGGGCCTCCACAATGAAGCAACCGAATGAATCCAAGCACACATAAAATGAGGTCATCTCTTCTCAGTAAGTAATGACTCGAGAAATATGTATTCATTTGTCCTCTGTAGGGACTGTATGGAGGGGTCCTGAGTTTCCTAGTACCTGCCCCGTGGCACTCACCTTGGGAAAATGCCTATTTGACATTCACTTCTTTTAGTTGTAAAGTGTGACAAGAGGAGCACAACTCTCCCTGAGTTCTGATATTACATATTTCTATTTTGAGAGGACTTACAGTCATTAGCGTTCATTTCCTTATACCATGACTGAACAAAGATAGCATGGTTTAATCCAAACATTGCTCAGACTAATGAATTATAATCTTCCTGGTTTCTGACCATAAAGACAACATGGAGATTTTTTTTTTTAAATTGAAATGACCAATAAGGTCTAAAGAGTGAAATAAATATGATTCATGAGTTTATATCTAGGTGAGCATTATCATATTAGTGACTCTTCCATACTTCTAAAAATATATAAATAAAATTCACCACTTTCTAATTATTTTACTACACTTTCACATTATCTATACTCTTCAGGTTTTATCTGTTGTATCTGCGGTATAGAAATCCTACATAATGCTGCACAGCTGCACGTCTCTCTCCAATTCCTTATTCAGTTCCTTATTAAAGTACATTCGTAGCTTAAAATGCATAATGTTTGTAGTATTTATACCATGAAAATCTGCAAATACTGCAGTAGGACTTCCATCTTGCTCTGTTTAAAGTTGGCTGTTAAATATAAGGGGTGGTCAAAATACATGGTGAATGTTTAAATTAAAAATTTTATTACAGTAAAATAATTAGTACAGTAAAAGATATATTGCCCCAAATCCTCCTCTTTTATGAGTGTTTTTATGAGGTATGAAGCTTAAGAATCTCTCTTTTGTAACAGTAGCAAACAAGAAACTACCGAGGCAGAAATTTCAATAGGTATTAGGGTGGAGGTAAGCCGTGAGGTAGATTGCATTCATTTAGCACAATTTGTTGTAATGCATGGAAATTACAGTGAAGCATACTTTTCACACCAAATATTTGGAAATAAGGAGAAAAAGGTTATGTTCAGGAAGTTAAACTTTTAAAAGTGGAAACCATTTAAAACTTTCAAATATTTAAGGAAGCTTGTAGAGAAATGCAAAATTGTTTTCAAGAGACAAAATGCCTCCCAGGACAACAACATTTGTAATTTGATTGAATAATTAATTTGTGTGAGGAAGGCACATAGTGGTGAGGATGAGAGATGGTCAGAGAAGATTCCAGAGCCCGCTTCAAGCACTGTGCTTGCATCTGGGTTCATAGGTACAACAATTCCGACGGAGCCAGTGGCGCTGGAGAGAGAGGATGCAGTCTTAATTCCAACCCACACACAAGGGTGATGGAAAAATAAAACGTACATTCAAATTTTAAAAATTTATTACAGTAAAAAACACATGGTCATCAACACCCCTCAAAATATTCCCAGTTATTTGCAAAACATGGCAATGTATCCTTATCCACTTTATTCACCGGATCTGGCACCGCGGGCTTCTGGTTCTTCTCCAAAGTTAAAATGACCACGAAAGGTCAATATTTTGAATAGGTTCAGGACGCTGAGGCATCCAAGACAGCACAACTAAAGACCCTCAGGAAAGAGGACTTCCAGCACTGCTTCAGAAAGTGGCAAGAACCATGGGATGAGTGTGTTCAAAAGAGAGGGGGAGAATTTTGAGGAGAATTCGTGGCAAAGCATTTTTTACTGTGATAAAAAATTTTAAATTTCAACCTTTTCTGTATTTTTCAATTGCACTTTGCGTTAACCAGAACACTGAGTATATTATTTCCTTATAACTTCCTTTTTTAAACCTACCAGATGTGCCCAAATAGGATTTGGATGTCATCTATTTGTTGTTTTGTTTTGTTTTTTGTCTTTTTTGAGACAGGGTCTCGCTGTGCAGTCAGACTGTCCTTGAACTCACTTTGTAGCCCAGGCTGGTCTCAAACTCACAATGATCCTCCTGCCTCAGCCTCCTGAGTGCTGGGATTACAGACGTGAGCCACTATGCCCGGCTTGGATGTTATCTATTTGCGCTATACATCATGACAAAGCAAATGAAAATCAGTCACAATCTAGAGAGACTCATATACATACTCACAGCTACTTATTTAAAAATTTTTTTCATG